GCTTATTTATGGTCGCCTCTTAACCCTTGGCTGGATTAGGAACTGGCTCAAAGCTTGTTAGGTGAGAAGTGCTATCCTGCCGCTGTTTTAGCTCCCAGATCCTGACTTACGCATTTGAGTTTTTGGCTTGTTAGAACTCTTCGTAGTGAACCGACCAGCCTGTTGAGGAGGGAACTGTGGGGCTGACTGCAGTTTTTATTATGATAACAGATGTTTAGCACCGCAGTTCGCGGTCCGAAAGGCGACATAAAAGCCGTCAAGCTGAGAGGGTAAAGGCGGCCCCGGTGGCGCAACGGATAACGCTCTCGCCTGGTAAGCGTATGGTGCGGGTTAAAGGGTCAAGAGTTTCGCCCATAACTCAACATTCCTGTGATACCTGACTGCACTGTTAACGCCTATGATCTCTGAGGACTGTAAAAGTGAACCTACCTTGAGCTCTTCTTCAAATAACGGTCCACAGACATCTAAAGGATAATGTAGTTTCCCGGTTCTGTAGTAGTTCAGAATTTGTGAGAATACACCAGGATGTCGATCAAAGAAATATTCATTGAGCACCGGATCATAGTTGGCAAGATTGGTCGTCAATCGCGATAGTCTGAAAAGTCCACTCAATTTAAAATTAAACAAATTACATAAGCATTTTAAGCTGATCCAATGGAACTATGAGGGCTAAGGCGGTGCAGTGTCGTTTCTCATCCACGCCAACCAGGATTTTCACCCTCCGGGGAAGGTAAATTGGCACCAGATTTGCTTGGGAGAGCAAGAACCCTGACTTGTAAATACATCAGCTGGCCCCGGAAGTCGTTGTATAGACCGCATCGCATTTGAAAGCCACTACGATTCTGAATGGAAGCAGAATGCGTGCCGCATCCCAAGAAGGATTGATCGACGGCGAAGAGTTCATATATTTTTGATTTTATTGTAACTGTTCTCCAGGGAGACTGGGCATGACAAGGTCAAGCTGGGCAAGTGTACGAAAGTATTTGAGACAAAGTTACTGTTAATGAACAAAAAAGTTAACAATACTTCTGGCGCTTCTCGTAAAGAAGCACTAGGCGTGAGCTCACAGAACGTGCTCAAACGTTCTGTGAGCACGAGTTGCAATCCCCGACGTCTGTCTGGGGTCGCAACTTGTGCCAGTAGAACGGCTATCAAATACTATACTAAGTATTTCCCTGTTATATGCATGTATATGTACATGATCAATTTTTTAGCAGAGCTATCTAGTAGCCGTTTATTATGACTGTTCAAGTCTCAATTTCTATAGGTAATTTGATCTAGTAACACGAGAATCGAGTACTGCCTTCCAGCTAATTAGAGAGGATGATTTCTTTTGCGTTTATCATTCCTTCTGGGATGCGCCACATGTTCTTTTTAATTCAGAACCATTCTGGTGTTTTGACCCATGCAATAACTTAAATGCAACTGTCGAAAAACAACTCAATGTTTCAGCCCTTACGGACAAATTTTTTACTGAGTTATCAATTATGAAGAAGAGGGTGGGCATAACCGTTCAAGACAACCTGAGCAGGGCCTTTCATTATGTACTACTATGGACATACCTGACAATGAGAGAAGAGAAAGACGCGCGAGGTATTAATGGCTCTTTCACATAATGAAGGCAAAGAGCCAAGCTTATCTGTACTCATAGGACCGCTGTCATGTCTCTTCTCCGGGTGGTGAGGCAACTTTTGCGGATGGTGCATCTTTGGCAGATGACGGGCGCAGCCCTCTTGTCACATATTGGCGAGCAGCGCAAGTGCGGTAATCTCAGAGATGGCGAACCGAGCTGGTTTTAGCAACAGATACTGTTCGATGGTTGTATGGCTTCCGAGTCATTGCATCGCACATCTCCGTAGGTAGTATATACGAGAGACACAGACAAAAAATTTTACAGGTGGCAGTACTGCCCCGTTGACTGGGGATTGGGTCCTTGGGGCGAACTTGTGACAGCACGCGCCTCACTCCGTCTATACGTATCTGGTCGCTCAAGGGAAGGGGTCCTACTTTGTCGCTAGAGAGAGAGGGTCGTAGTTGTAATGGTGGCAATCTCTCCTCCTACCTCCTCCTCCTCCCCCCCCTAGTTCAACAGTAGCTTTTGGAGAAGAACTGGGAAAATTTTTTGGAAAACTGGGACAAATTCAGGGGTGGGTCATATTTCGCATAAATTTTCCCCCAGCGACCGGACGTGTCCGCAACTCTATTCACCCTTAATCTAACAGATACTCGCGAAATCGGTCCTTTGGACGTTAACTTTTCAACTCATGATTTTCGTTGAAATTCCGGAGGTCAAGAACGAATGATACAGTGAAATAAACAACTCAGTGTCCACAAAATATAATAGATATAGAAATCAAAGCAAATGGAAGGCTCAAAACTACCTGGTGGCGGGTATCTTTTTCAGGGTGTGTTTGTATGTTTCGTGCCTAACACCGCCGACATTCAGTATTATCCTATATTCGGAATCCATGACGGCGTTCCTGAAAAGATCTACATCAGAAATAGAGTTAGATACGAAAAGATAAATCCGCGGATTGCGCCATGATCTTGTTTTCTATGTGGAAAAATTGGAGACAGCAATAAGATTGCTGAGCTGGAGGTTTTGTTAGAGCATATCAGGGTTTGAGCATTATTAAAAATTTCTTATGATCCAATCGAAGATAGGGTAACTAAATAATATCCAACGATAAAATCAATCACTCGTATGCGAGAAACCGGTCATATTACGAAAAATATCACGAAATAAATCGGCTCGGGGTTGGGGAGTGCAAAAACAATGAACCGAAATATGAAGTACAATAGAGCTGTGAGATGATACTTCACTTTGAATGATTACTTCGCATGCACTGAACTGCGATCAACAACGATCAAGCCTGAAGGGCCGTCCAAAACACGTCAGAGGAGTGTCCACGAACTTTACAGCCACTGTCACTCTTTCACACTCGTCACCACTTGACTAGCACATAGTTTCGGCAAAGAATCGAGGAAAAACGAAAGTTACTTGATCATGCCATTGTTAGGGTCAGAAGCATTTTTCTTTGGTGTGCTTATTCTCTAGCTGTCATTAGCCCAGAGGGAAACAGGAATGGATACGGTCAGAGGTTTTTCCCGTGCTACCTTTACTAGTACCAGTTAGCTGCGCATTAGAACCCTTTAGGAAACTCATCTCTATACCTGTGACCTTTGTTCATGAGCAGCTTATTCGATATCCTTGTCATAGAATCCAAGGAGAGAGGGAATTGTTGCGCCAAGACCAGCTTCAAGTGTTCCTCGGATTATGTAGGATCGCAGTTAGATGCCACAGGAGGTGTCGCAGACGATAGCGCTGTCATCAGGGAAGCACAAAATTACTTCACTACTTCATTCATAGTGAAGGTCACAATTATGATAAGAAAGCTGGCTTATACAGTCCTCATCATTGCACTGTTGGAGGCAGCGTGAGCAGCGCGGTTCGAATCCGCATTCGGCCCCCTTG